GATGCTTTGGTCTTCCCTTGGCTGACACCTGTCCTCACTTTGATCAGGAGTGCCCCATAGGAAATGAGAAGGAGGACAAAGCATCCAGCATTTATAAGGCCGCTGTTGATAAACATAGCAAATTCTAGACTGTAGGTGTTGGTGCAAGCCAACCTGATTATTTGGGTCACATCACAGAAATAGTTGTCCAGTTTATTGGGACCACAGAAAGGGAGTGGGAAGATTAGAATAATCTGGATTATAGAATGTGTGAATCCTCCAGCCCATGAAGCCATCACCAAAACCCAGCAGGCTGGCTTGGTGATTACAGTTACATAATGCAATGGGTGACAAATGGCCACATATCTATCAATTGACATGGAAATAAGGAGAAAGGCCTCAGCTCCACCTAGAAAGTGGATGAAAAAAACCTGTATCATGCAACCTTTGTATGAGATGGTTTGGCATCCAGAGAAGAGGTTGATTATCATCTTTGGAGGGGTGACACAGCTGTAGCAAATGTCCATCAAAGCCAGGTTGGCCAAGAAGAAAAACATGGGAGCTCCTAGTTGGGGGTCTTTCAAAATAGTCACAATGATGAGAATGTTCCCAGGAAGAATGATGACATAGAAGATCAAGAGGAAGATACACAAAAAGACTTGCAGTTCCCTGGTCTCTACTAACCCCTCAAGAACAAACTCAGTGAGGTTGCTTGAGTCCATTCTTTTTGTGTGTATTCCTGTAGTGGAATAATGATTGGAATATTGAGTGGGAGGAAATTTGTAACAAAGCCTTTTATATCATGCATACAAACATTTCGGCAATGATGTCTTGGCAAGAGAAAATAGTGTCAAATCTTTACTGCTATTCAGTTTTTTTTCTCTTGCAGTTTGTAGCCCACATATAATATGCCATAAATCCTTCGTTTTCTACTTCTATACATGGAGATGCTTACAGCCTTTAAAACCATTAGTTGGAAAGCAAGTGTCTACCTAAGTTGTTTACTTTCTCCTGACTCTGGGCCACTTGATGTTTCAAATTCTCTGGAGGTGTGGTCCGATTCATTTCAAAACTACCATACTATAACCATCACCTTTCTGAGTAGGACACATAGGGCCAATGTTTTTTGCTAATATGATCAAAGCCTTTGAATGGTCTCCTTCTTCACAGCAAATTCCCATTTTGAGAAGGCTTTGTTTTTTCCTATAATAAAGAACTTTGACTCATTTGTTCTGCAAATTGAGGAGTTAAAAGTGAGCTTAAAACTTGTTGAAGAGGTACTTAGTTTCAAACACATTTTTCAGATCTCTGCTTATAGGATTTATCTGGAAGGAAAGATCTTTCAAAGTCACTGTCCCCTGTGGGCCTTCTCATTTTATGTAAAATATATTCATTCCTTCATTGAAGAGATGCATTGCCTGTTTCTCAAGTCAGCCTTACCTATAAAAATCTATCCTACTCATAATGTGAAGTAGAACAATATCTGAAATGCAGATTAGACTGTCAAATAATGGCAATGCACAGAGAAAGAGAAAATGGAATGATATCAGCAGATAAAATTGCTGTTAAAAGGAGTAATGAATCAAGCTTTACCTTAATTCTTCTCAGATGTTGTTCCTGATGTTCTCTTTCTCACTTTGCTTGTTTTCTTCAATACAATCTCTAGTAGGAATTATGTTGGTTGATTATGGTTGTTGATTAATTAATTATATTGTTAATTATAATTATATCATGCATACAAACATCTAGGCTATCACTCATTGGCAAGACAAAATGGTGTCACTCTTTACTCATATTCAGTTTTTTTCCTTGTAGTTTGCATGTATGATTGTGCCATTTCAATTTCTATACACAGTCAAGCTCTCAGTTTTTAAAATAGCTGTTTGGAAGGCAAGTGTCCACAGGTCTACATAAGCTGATTACTTAGGAGTTGAGGTCCAATTCATTTCAAAACTGGCCTATTGTAACCAGTACTATAACCTTGCAATAGCAGAAGTACCAGAAACATCTAAATATCTATCCATCCAGTCACAAGGAGACAGACAACAATTGCATAGTAGTAAACCTATTTTACCAATATCAAAGGACTTGGTTGATTGCTTTCTCCTGAATTTGGAGATTAAAAATTGTTTGTCCGTATTAAGCGTGCCCAGTTTCTATGAGATGGTTTCTCTGTATTGCATTTCTGTCTCATAAAAATCTGTGTCGTCTCAAGTCCCCCATTGAGAAGGTTGGAAAGAGGGAATGTTCCTAGATGAACTTAAATACGTAATTGAAAATCACTTCAATAAAGCAATGCATTCTTCTCTGGGACCAGAAATAAAAGCAATGAAAGAAAAGAAGGTATTAAAGAGAGAGGATACAGCTGGGCTACCCTTGAACACCATTTATAAAAAGTTAATTCAGTCTCTGAATGTCTTGCCTTACTCCTAGGTCAAAGTCTCATTCTCATTTCTTCTGAGGCCTAGTAGACATTGTGAGTGAGATGGACACTTGGATGCCTTGGAGGAAGAGAGTAAAGGAGAGGACTTGTTCTTTGAGCAAGCCAGAAGATAGTAGGTGTCTCTGGATAAACTGGGCCCTTGTGTATGATTCCTTCTGATAATCTCCAAGGACCTTATTAAAAAGTTTATTCTAGGCAAAGTTTTTTGAAAAGCAATTTTGAATTAAGTTTATTCATTAGGCAGAATTTTCCCTAGCAGATATTCCACAGGTGTCAAATCCACAGGACCCAACCTCAGCTTTGGCTGTGGAAGTGGTGACTGAGTCTGTTTTCCGGATTTCCAACCAACTAGTTGTTTTCAAACATAACAAATTCTGACATTGATTTTCTAACTTGTACATCATTCTAACTTGTACATAGTCTACAAAAAATTTCAATTCCAATTCACTTAATGGTTGTAAATGCAACCCTAAACCCTTGGGTTCCCTTTAAATAATAACATCACTTTCTTTTAATTCCTAGCCAATGTTACATAGGCTTTGATGTGTAACAGCTAAAATTGTTGACTGAATTGGCAATATCTGGCCTTGACCATTGTGATAAGTATAACTGACTTCCTATGAGTCCTGATACAGTTCCTGATACCAAGGTGTGCTATTTTTGATGGTTTGAAAATCTGGGTATCATGGGATGTTTTCACACTTTTACAACATTCCATATTAAACTTTTTAAAGCAATTGTTCTGTTTTCTTCTTTTGACTTAGAATAGAATAAAACATATTTGGAAGGGACCTTGTAGGTCATCTAGTCCAACCCTATACTCAAGCAGGAGACCTTAAACCATTTCTGACAGATGGCAGTCCAGTCTCTTCTTGAAGGCTTCCAGTGATGAAGCTCCCACAACTTCCAAAAGCAAGCTGCACCATTGGTTGATTGTTCTCACTGTCAGAAAATTTATCCTTATTTTTAGGTTGATTCCAGTGGTGGAATTCAATTTAACAAGCAGTTTGGTAAGCACACACTTCGCATGGCATTTTGGCTGCTGTGACACATTGCTGGCTCACATTTAATTGATTACCCGCTAAGGTTCCAAGATCCCTCTCGCAGTTACTGCTATTAATCCTGGTTTCACCCAATCTATATGTGTACTTTTGTTTTTCTTGACTAAATGTAAGTTTACTTTTCTCTACATTGAATTTCACTTTGCTAGATAGGGCCTAGTGTTCATGTCTGTCAAGATCCATCTGTATCTTGAGCCAATCATCTAGGGTTTTGGCTATTCCTGCCAACTTAATATTCTCTACAAATTTGATTAGTTCCCCTTCTATTTGATTAGTTCCCCTTCTAAATCTAAGCCATTTACGAAGATATTTATTTATTTATTTATTTATTTATTTATTTATTTATTTATTTATTTATTTGATTTGCCATTTGTTTACAAGATAATAAGTATAAGTGTATACATAGTTGTGAATACATGAAATGGGTACATATAAGAAAAATAAAAGAAGAATAAGAGAAACAATAGGACAGGGACGGTAGGCACGTTGGTGCGCTTATGCACGCCCCCTACAGACCTCTTAGGAAAGGGGTGAGGTCAATAGTAGACAGTCTAAGATTAAAGTTTTTGGGGTTTGGGGAAGAAACTACAGAGTCGGGTAGAGTATTCCAGACATGACCACTCTATTGCTGAAGTCGTATTTCCTGCAATCAAGTTTGGTGCGGTTAACTTTAAGTTTGTATCTATTGTGTGCTGTTGTGTTGTTATGGTTGAAGCTGAAGTATTCATTGACAGGTAGGACATTGCAATGTATGATTTTATATACCATGCTTAAATCAGACCGAAGACGGCGTAATTCAAGGTTTTCTAGTTCTAGAATTTCAAGTCTGGTGGCATAAGGTATTCTACAACAAGTAGAGGAGTGGAGAACTCTTCTTGTAAAATATTTCTGGACTTTCTCAATTGTGCTAATATCAGATACGTAATGTGGGTTCCAGACTGATGAACTGTATTCGAGTATTGGTCTAGCAAATGTTTTGTATGCTCTGGTTAGTAGTGTGATATTACCAGAGAAAAAGCTACGTAGGATTAGGTTAACAACTCTTAATGCCTTTTTGGCTATGTAGTTGCAGTGGGCTCTAGCACTTAGATCATTAGAGGTGAGTATTCCAAGGTCCTTTACAGAGCTTGGGTCATCAACAAGATCTTGACTATTCAGCTTGTATTTTATTTTCTGATTTTTTTTGCCAATATGTAAGACAGAGCATTTATTTGTTGAGATTTGAAGTTGCCATTTGTTTGACCATTCTGATACATAGTCAAGATCTTTTTATAGGGTAGCAGTATTGTCTGTGATATTGAACAGCTTTACATCATCAGCGAAAAGAACGCAATTGCTCTTAATATGATCACAGAGGTCATTTATGTAGAGTATGAAGAGAGTTGGTCCTAGAACACTGCCTTGGGGGACACCACTATTGACAGGTACAGAATTTGATAGGACGCTCCCAATTTTGACCATTTGTTGTCTGTTTGCCAGGAATGCTTCATCCAGTTATTCAGTTGTCCAGAGATACCATAGGATTTTATTTTTAGGAGTAGTTTGTCGTGTACCACTGAATCAAAGGCTTTACAGAAGTCTATGTAGATTGCGTCTATTGCTTTGCCCTGGTCGAGTTGTGTCGTCCATATGTTTTTGCAGTGTAAGAGTTGCAGATTACAGGATAGTTTTTTTCTGAAACCAAATTGTTTATTGGAGAGTAGGTTGTTTGTCTCTAAGTGGAGGATGATGGATTGGTTAATAATTGATTCCATGACTTTACAGGTGACGCAGCATAAGGAGATTGGTCTGTAATTTTCAACTAGGCTTGGGTCTCCCTTTTTGAAGATGGGGATGACTGTGGCTTGTGACCATAGGTTAGGCAAGGAGCTGGTCCTGAAAGATTTTTCAAAGATTATGCTTAGAGGTTTGGCTATGGCAGTGGATAGCTTTTTTAAGAAGTAGGCACATATTCCACCCGGTCCAATAGATAGAGATGGTTTTAGATTGCGTAGTGCTTTTTCAACATTGTCTTCTGTAAAATCGATATGTATTAGATCATTGTTGTTATCTGTGGTACGGCTAGGAAATACTGGGCATGATCCATTGCTGTTTACAAATACTGAGCCGAAGAATGTGTTAAAGATGTTGGCTTTAATGGTGTCGTCGTTGCAGTCTTTACCATCAGGTCCTATCAAGGGTGGGATAGACCTTGAGTCTTTTAGTTTGTTGTTTACAA